CATCTGATGGTAAAGTGTGATGTAATTTCTTGAGATACGAATGAGAGGGCTGGCTCTGTTGGCAGGAAAATTCAACCGAATTCAGGGACTCCATGCCCTCAATTTTATGATGATCTGCCCTTAAGTCCCCATGCCAAGTCTCAGGGTCCCATTTCTCCCTAACCAAAGGCATAATTTTTTTCCTTATTATTACTGGTTTGCTAACAAAGTTCGTCATGTTTCACACTATTCTTCATTCACATTGTGTTTCATATAGTCATTCTCATGCATTAGATTTTATAAAATTAATCACCATGGGACCTTACCCATCATTACCCTGTCTTTTCTCCTGGATCCTTCCCATTTATTTCCCCTGTCCCTGCACCCACCAAACTGTGCAGCCCTGTGGTTTCGCCCCTACCCATCCTCTCCCCCTCCACCCCCCTTGAGTTTCCTTACATGTTTTACTAGTTATCCTTCTATTTTTATAATAATGGTCTTGTGCAGTATTTGTCCTTATGAGTCTGTGTTAATTCACTTATTGTAATGCTCTCCAGCCTCTCCCAAGTTATATAGTATTTTTCAAAATCATTGCTCCTGACTGCTGCATAGTATTCCGATGTTGAGAATTCATTTGGCTTTGTAGCTCAGCCCCTCTTCCAATGGGAGCTGTCAGACCTTGATTGTGGTGGCTCAGACTTAAAGCTTTGAGCACTTGTCTTTTTCTACTCCGACTAGGCAAACTCGAACCAATCAGGCTGCTTACACTCTGACTAGGCAAACTTGAATCAATCAGGCAACTTCCTCTCCAACTGGGCAAACTCGAACCAATCAGGCAGCTTCCACTCTGACTAGTCAAACTCGAACCAATCAGGCAGCTTCCACTCTGACTAGGCAAACTCGAACCAATCAGGGAGCTTCCTCTCTGACTAGACAAACTCGAACCAATCAGGGAGCTTCCTCTCCAACTAGGCAAACTCAAACCAGTCAGGCAGTTTCCTTCGTCCTCTCTTTCTGACACAGTAATGGGAACAGATTTTAAATGCCACCACCCAGAACCTTGCCCTCTGATCCATTGGTGGTGGTATTTTGAATATTTCTGCCTTCTCACACCATGGAATCACAGAGCTTCACTACTGGGACCACTAGTGGCCTGATGGTAAGAAGCTGGGCTGCAGTCTCAAAGGCCACCAGCTGCTCTGTGGGAGAAGGATGGGCAGTCTCCTCTTGTGCAGTTAACTGCCTCTGAAAACCCACGGGAGGGTCAGCTATGGGTCAGTTCCACCTTGGTGCACACCACCACTTCAATACTGGAGGCAGAGTCATCAGTGTCTGTAAAACCAGCCAGGTTATGAGAACGAATTTTAAACGCACTTCCTTAAAATTTTCTTGCTGTGGAACCACACTTAGTATCAAAATGTCTTAGGCTCTGTTGTTATGTGCTGTCGAGTCGCTTGCAACTCATAGCGACCCTGTATACAGTAGCCCTAAACTCTGCTCTGTTCTATGCCAGTTCCACTGTCTCTGACACACCCATCCCGATTACCCCAGTCACTGAAGCAATCCACCTCATAGAGGGCCTTCCTCTCCTGCACTGTCCCTTCACCCTCCCAAGTATGATGTCCCTCTCCAAGGGCCAGTCTCTCCTCACAACATGTCCAAAGTATGTTAGACGGAGCCTCAGAATCCTTGCCTCCAGGGAGCTACCCGGTTTAACCCTTTCCAAGATGAAGCTGTTTGTTTTTCTAGCAGTCCATGGTACTCTCAATACTCTTCTCCAGCACCACAGCTCAAAGGCATCAGTTCTCCTTCTATCCTCCTTGGTCATTGTCCAACTCTCTGATGCATAACAGGTGATTGCGAAGACTATGGCCTGTATCAGACGCACCTTAGTCTCCAGAGAGACACCACTGCTCTTCAGCACCTTGGAGAGGTCCCTAACAGCAGACTTTCCCATGGCAGTACGCATTTTAATTTCCTGGCTACTGGTGCCAAGAGTGTTGACTGTGGAGCCAAGCAAGCTAACGCTGTGAACAATCTCAGTCTCTTCACCATCCATCCTGGTGCTGCCAATTGGTCCAGTGGTGAGAATTTTTACTTTCTGACATTGAGCCTCAAGCCATATTGGAGGCTGCAGTCCTTGACCCTCTGCAGCAAGCACTTCAGGTCCTCCTCAGTTTCAGCACGCAGAGTTCTGTCATCTGCATATCACAGATTGTTGATAGATCTTACACCAGTCTTGACCCCACATTTCTCCCCATAGAGCCCAGCCTCCCGGATAATCTGTTCTGCATACAAGTTGAAAAGGTATGGAGATAGGATGCATCGCTGGTGTACGCCCTTCCCAATTTTGAACCATGCAGTGTTCCCTTGCTCTGTTCAGACGACTGCCTCCTGGTTCAAGTATAGGTTTCGCATTAGCATGATCAAGTGTTCTGGGATTCCCATTCTTCTCAGAGTCAGTCACAGTTTGTTATCCACACAGTCAAACGCCTTTGCATAATCAATGAAACATGACATCTTCTGGTAAGAGGCTGGGGTGTTCCAAATATTTAGGTTTGGTGACAGGCTAGAAGCTCATCCTGACTCATGCTGCAGGTTTGACAAACCCAAAATTGGCAGGTCAGCCCACAGGGTGCAAGGTCAAGTCCAACATTGGACATTGGTCAGAAGATGAGGAGTTGGATGCAGTATTGACCTAGAGCAGGCTTCACCCGATTAAACCATGTGGTTTGGATGCAGGCCACACCCTGCGACCCTCCCCTTTCAGCGGATTGGCTGCTGACTAGAGACGATTTGCATATCCACCTAGATATTGAGCCTCACTCATGACAGACTGCAAGGATATACGGAGCCAGCTGATAGGCTCATAGCTGAGCCTGCCGCGGGTTTTCAGAGGCTGTAAATCACACAGAAGAAGATTGCCCATCTTTCTGCAGAGCAGCTGGTAAATTCGAACCACATGCCTTTAGGATCGCTGTGCAGCTTCTTACCACTAAGCCACCAAGCCTCAGGCTCTCCTCCCAATCAGAATTCCTTGCCTTGAAGTTGGAGCTGACCCAGAGCTGACAGAACATCCAGGGCGTTTTCAGAGGCTGTAAATAGAATGAGAGATTTGTCTTTCTCCCTTAACAGCATTTAATAAAGAGAAAACCGATGGCACACTAATCTCATCTCGTTTTCTACCTTGGATTCCCTTTTGTGAATATGCGATTGGAATGGTCTCCACCCACGTTGTCCATTGAGGGAGCCAGTAGCCATGCATGGTTCTTGAGCCAATGGAATGTATTTGATTTAAGGCGAAAGCGGCTTTAATTATAGATGCTGGATTCTGAAGGCTTAGGTAAAATATGTGTGTATGTGAGAGAGAGTGAGATAATACACATATTTAGAAATAACTTAGGAAGCGCTGGTAGCCTAGTGGATAAAGAGTTGCACTGCCACCCCAGAGGCAGAGAGTTCAAATCCACCAGCTGCTCTGTGAAAAGAGAAATGAGCAGTTTCCTCTAGTGCAATTTACAGCCTCAGAAAACCTGCTCGAGGGTCTGCTAGGAGTCTGTTCTGACTGGTAACAACAACGTAAATGTTTTTGGGTGTAACATTTAAGAAGCACCTCAATTTTTAGCTTGAAGTCATTTTAGATCTCTCACACTCGTGAGGATCCTTTTATTACCTTTTCATTTCATTCGTATCTGCATTTTCCTAGTGTGGCCAGTAGCCATTTACAACTGTGTGTGGCATTCGCGGTGCGTTTTCTACTGGACAGTGCTGATTGGCCTATGCAGTGCCAGGAGACAGGGGCAAAGATAGGAATGTCCATCTTCTGCCTGTGCACCTTTGTCCTGGCTCTCGCTTCTGCTTGGATGGCTTGTTCTTTAGCCTGGCTGCCTTTCCTTGTCATTCAGGGCTCAGTTCAGAGGCCCTTCTCAAGCATTCATCCAACCAGAATCCCCCAGGTTGTTCCTGACCACACACCTCGGGTGGATTTTCTGTACACAGCTTCCTTACCGACTTTCTACTGACTGCTCCTCTAGACCTGCAAGTTCTGGAAGAGCATGGATTTTGATTTATCTTGTTTAAGTTGCCTGCCCAAGTGGTTAGAATAATATCACAATAAATGAGCTCATGGATGGATGGATGGATGGATAGTTGGGTGGTTGGTTAAGTGGATGGTGGATGGATGGATGGATGGATGGATGGATGGATCAATAGTTGGGTAGGTGGATGGATGGATGGAAGAATGGATGGATAGATGGATAACTGGGAAGATGGGTGGATGGGTGAGGGGATGATGGGTGAATGGATAAATGGATGGGTGGGTAAGTGGATGGATAGATGGGTGGGTGGATAGGTAACTGGATGGATAGACAGATGGGTAAGTGCATGGATGGATGGATGGATGGATGGATATCCTGGAAGGGAGATAACTGACTAAATTTTCTTTTTTATTCATTCAAATTTTTTTTCTTCTCTTTTCTAGGTCTTGAAAGGGGACTACAAAACACCAGCCAATCTGAAAGGATATTTTCAGGTTAGAAATCCTAGTGGGAACGTGGAGGTCTGGAGATACCCTCTACTTTATTTAGTCTGTCACGGTTTCCCCCATCATAAACTGAGGGGTCGGCTACAGGGTCTCCAGCAGCCAGTCTCACAGGCCTCTCTGCTGGCCTGACCCTCTTCCTTCACTCTGTCTGCGGCTTGAGAGCAGTGGGAAGGGACTTGTTTAGGACTTTGGGGCTAGATCTCAATGCTTTTATTTGAGCAGCAATTTCCTAAGTACAACTCAGTGCACAGTCTTCATCTACTGTTAACTGGGGTGAGGGGACCCACAATGTATGTAAACATGCAGATTGGATGCAGATACACAGTGGAAGCTGCCCCCTACATGAATCCCTTCACTCTGCACACCGATCCTCCCAGGGGCGTCCTAAGAGGCGGACAAAGCAAGTTCTGCATCATCTTCATGTTCAAGCCAGAAGCCAGTTGTTTGTCCATCACTACCATGTTCAAGTCCAGTCCATCTCACTGAGAGTCACCGTGACCCTCGCTGCCCCTCCCCCCCTACATAATGGCCTCATTTAGTGAGTGATCCCTCTTAATGATGTGTCCAGAACAAACAAGTCACACATTCTGTTATGATGCAGGTTTTCACAGATGGAAAAAGAATGGAAGTTGGCTCCCCAGTCAGTACCCTTAGTAACAGCAGTCAGAAAATCAAAAGATGAGTTGCATTGGGAAAATCTGTCCAGGGTCTTTCCAGAGTACGAAGGAGCAATGATGTCTGTCTAAAGACTGTGGTGTGCCTGATCCAAACTATGGTCTTTTCAGTTGCTTGCTTTACATCTGAAAGCTCGACAATGACTAAGGATGATGGAAAAATTGACGCCTTTGAGTTGTGATGCTGGAGAAGAGTATTGAATATCCCATGAACTGTCTAGAGAACAAGCAGATCTGTCCTGGAATCAGTGATATCAGGACGCTCCTTAGAGGCTAGGATGGTGAAACTCTGTCTCGCATAGATTGGGCATGTGGCCAGGAGGGGCCAGTCCTTGGAGAAGGACATCATGTTTGGAAGAGTGGAGGGTCAGCACAAGGACCCTCAGCGAAGTGGTTTGATAAAGTGATTGGAACAGTGGGGTCAAGTGTGTCGGAGACGGTGGAGTTGGCTCAGGATAGGGCAGAGTTTAGAGCCGTTTTTCACAGGGGTGCTATGAGTTGTATTTGGCTTGATGTCTCTTAACGGCAATCTTTTTCCAAGGTAGATTGCCCTTCCTCTGTGCAAGATGCTTTGGTTTGCTTTCTTAGTGCCTTTCCGTCTTCTAGTTTTTTCATTGTATCTAGCGGCCTGGTGGCAAGGAGTTGCAGTGCCACCCCAAAGGCAGGCAGTTTGAATCCACCAGCTGCTCTCCGGGAGAAAGACGGTCAGTCTTCTCCCTTACGATTTACTGCTGTAAGCCCTGTGAATTGGTTCTGACTCACCAGCACGTGACAGTTCATTGTACTTTTGCATCACTGTTTAACTGCTTCCCTTGGCTGGTTTCCATTTATTTCTCTGCCCTGAAAGAGGACGTGTCCACATCATGCTGGTTTCGCTTCTGTTTTTGCAAGTTAGGGACCGGAAGTGAATTACTTCCCAAGAGCACATTATTCAGGAGTGGAATCACCATGAGTGGAAGGGGCTGAATCTTTTTATGTGACTCTTGAGTGACAAGGCTAAATGGCCTCTGTGAAGGCTTTCAGTTGCTACCTACGCATGTGAAAGTTGGACAGTGAATTAGGATGACAGAAGAATCCTCGATGCCTTGGAATTATGATGCCGGAGAAGAATGCTGACTAGCCCATGGACTGCCAAAAGAACAGACAAGTCTGTTTTAGAGGAAGAGCACCCAGCTTCCTCCTTAGAGGCAAGGATAAAATTGCATCTCATTTTATTTTGGGCATAGTCTCCAGAGGTATTGATCCTTGGAAAAAAGGCATCATGCAGAGAATGGTGGAATGTCAGAGAAGGAGAGGAAGCCCCTCAGTTAGATAGAATGTCACTGACGCAGCAGGCGTGAGCACACCAGAGATCCTGAAGCTGGTGCAGGACAGGACAGGGTTCAGAGCTGTTGTTCACAGGGTCCTTGGGAGGTATAGTTGACTTCAATAGCACATACCAGCAACAAAGCTTGGGCCAACCCTCAACTAATGAATAGATAGAGAAGCTGTGATATATTCACACAATGGAACACTACACTGCATTGAAAAACAAAGGAACTCATGCAATATTACTCAAAATGGGTAACCCTGGAGAACATTATGCTGAGGGAAATATCTCAGTCACAAAAGGACAAATACTGCATGGTGCCACTGTTGTAAAACAAGACTGACATCAGGGTTCTGTGGAGACTGAGAAAGATGGGATAAATTCTGTCTACTGTATTGTAACAGATGAGGGAGAAAACTGTTTAAAAGGGATATGTGGTTAGGTTTTATTGTCATGACAGGAGTCCAGAACGAAGGCTGCATAGTGGAGTGGACTTGAGGGGAGAGATTGTATAATAATGAAAGAATTTTTCTTTAACTTTTCCAAGAGAAGAACAAACTGGAGGGAGGGGTGGGCAGGGAGAGAAGTGCAACAATGAATGAATGGAAATGAAAAAAAGTTCATTAAAAAAACCCGGCTGGGCCAGCATGGATTCCTTGCGGTGTATGGGATGCAGCAGAAATCTAGGTGGCCCATGACTGGTTTCTTTTTATTGTAGAGAACAAAATCCCAAGGCAGGGAGTGTTCAGAGCTGGGACTGTGAGGCCCAGGTTCAGTTCCTGGCTGGTGCACTCTCTGAGTGGCCCCCCACCCTTCTGAGCTCTGAAGTCTTCGTGATAAGGGATTTTGCTGGCAATGCAGAGATACACGGTTCAAATCCACCAGGTGCTCCACAGGAAATAGATTGGTAATCAACTCCCATGCAGTTTACTACGTCTGAAAACCGACTGGACGGTCAGCCAGGGGTCACTTCCGGTTTGATGGTACATAGCAACAACAACAACTGCGGTCAGTGGAGGCATGCGTGTCACTTGTTTGCTTGAACAGGTTTCAGGAGAGTTTCCAGACTAAGGAGAACTAGGAAGAAAGGCCTGCTCACTTGCTTTGAAAAATCCACCCAAGAGAACCATATATACCAGCTCTTGGCAGTGCCAGGTTTGGATAAGGTAGTGCACTGATACCTGGTTAACAGGCTCCAGGAGAACAGGCTTGTGCCCGGCACAGCCCCAGTAATGCCTCCAGCTCTTAGTAGGTGTGCAGCACACAGTCAGTCAGCAGTTCCCTGCAGGAGCTAATAATGCAAGGATTTGAACCTCAGGGTGGTGGGACGGCCTCCCCTGGACCCACCCGGCTCTGACCACCCCCTTCCCTGTGTGTTACCTTCCCACAGATGAACCAGAACAGCACCTCGTCCCACCTGGGAAGCTCATGATTTCCAGGTGAGTCTGCGGAATGACAGCAGGCCCCACCTGCTCCCTGCACCTCAGGGAACCGCTTTTCTGAAAGCGCGCTTTTGCTCCTCCTTCCCTGGAGAGAATTGTCCACTGAGGTGGGCTGACCCAGCCCCACCAGAGGTTTCCATGGTGATGGGAGGGGTGCTATTTATAGAATGGCCGCAGAGTCTCTCTCTGTCTGGGCTCTGCATCTCGGATAGGCACGGGGGGTGATGCTGAGGCAGCTGGAGAAGGCCCCCACTTCTGTCTGGCCCTGGGGACAGAGCAAGGAAGACCACCATGGTGGAGGTGAGGGGCTAGCACCATTTTTGGCACCAAATGCTGCCCGCCACTCTGACTTCCATAAACAGCATCATTTTTGGCCCAGACCAGTTAATGTACTAACAGTAGTCCCAGCAATGCTGTTCTGAGAATAAGCTCCCTCCTCTCCTCCGGCATTGGGCCAGGGACTCCTCGAGACATCGTCATCTAACTCCCTGCAGCCCCGTGGGGTGGGTGGCAAGGTTCTCCCCATTTCACAGAGAAGACCAGAGCACAGAGAAGGATGTTAACTCACACAGCATCCCAGCGGCACAAGCCCCAGAGACACATACCGTGAGATAGCGTGCAGTCATTTTTAGCCATGTGTTTTCATCCATGTCTTGCTGAGAAGCAGGAAGAGGGCTTCGGAACTTGGGAATGTCATGTGTTCGCATCAGGAGACTGGGGAGTCGTCAGCGCGCCCCTACGAGAGTGTTTGTGGGATGACATGAACTGACCGGAGGGGTGTGCTTGTCACTAACGTGCTGGCGTGGACGGGGACCTCGTTCCCACGTCCGGCTTCCCTGCGCACAAGACTGTGACGAGCCCCACAGTGAGATCACGGCACGTTTGCCCGAGTGTGTTCCCTGTTCTCAGATGGCCTTGTGACCGGCACTCTATTTTTGGTCTTGTCATTTTTAAATAATCAATTTTTTTTTTTTTTTTAGTCTTCTCTGGAAATCCTCTTTGTCCCCGCCTGTGTTGTGAGTGGGGGCTGCGTGGAAGTCCTGGGGCTCTGTTTCAGCTTCATCCTTGAGTCAGAACCAATTCATAGCTGACTTTCTGTTGCGTTTCCGAGGTTATAAATCACACGAGAAGAGCCTGCCTTTCACCCTCAGAAGTGCTGATGGGTTTGAACCTCCAGAGGCTCCACCTTTGGGTTTAGTAACACGGCTCTCCTCAGACTCTGCCACCGAGCTCCACACTGTATTTTACTTTTTTTTTATTATTATTATTTCATTATTTTCCGTGTGTGTGTACCATCAAATCAGATCTGACTGGTGCAGGAGGAGATTGTCCCAGCAGATCATCTGGTGGATTCAAATTGCACACCTCTGGGATTGCAATGCATTTTCTTGCCACACTGTATTTTAAATTGCAAAGACAAGAGCACTCCCATTGAGTACAGCCCTTCTCTATGCTTCTCCCAAGCTCTGCTGCTCTTCTCCTGCAGATTGGCTTCTAGAATCCAGAGCCTTCTCCCTGGTGGAAGCCAAGTTTATCCCTGACTTTCTTATTTGAATGAGATTTCACATGCAGAAACGTTAGACAAGCGTGGGGCAGAGATGGTCCTGAACAAATCCTTCTCTTGCCCCCAAAGCAAGAAATCTACTGATCCCTGTCACAAGAAGGGAGCCCTGTTGGCATAATGTAAGGAGTTGTGCTGCCAACCCAAAGGCAGGTGGTTCGAATCCACCAGCTGCTCCTTGCACAGTCTCCTGTCATGCAGTGTGTTGTTGTTGCTGTTGCTATGTGCTCACCAGTTGATGCCAACTCATGGGAGCCCTGAAAGATGGAGTAGAACTGGCGAGCTCTAGTGGCCCGGTGGCAAGAAGCTGCACTGAAATCCCAGAGGTGCATGGTTCAAATCCACCAGATGCTCTGCTGAAGAAGGTGGGACCATCTCCTCCTGTACCAGTCAGATCCGATTTGACAGTACACACATAAAAAATAATAATAAAAAAAAAGATGGAGTAGAACTGGTCCACTGGGTCTCCCAGCTGTAGTTTTTATGGAAGCACACTACTACCGCACTTTTCCCTTATAGAGTGATTGGGGGGTGCAAAGCCACCCACCTTTTAATTGGAACCAGAACACTTAACCATTGCGCTACACAGACTCCTTAGAGAACTTAATATGGGGTTCTCTTTGCCCACCCATCTTTATTCCTCTGTGGTGGTGGTGGTGGTTGTGTGCTGTTGAGTCAGAATCAACTCATAGCTGACCCTTCAGTGGGTTTTCAGAGGCAGTAAATTGCATGGGAGGAGACTGCCCGTCCTTCTCCTGCAGACCAGCTGGTGGATTTGAACAGTGTGCCTCTGGGACTGCAGGGCAGCTTCTTACCATTAGGCCACCAGAGCCCGCAGGAGGCCCAGCTATGAGTTGGTCTCAAGTTCAACAGGACACAACAACAAGAACTATTCACAAATCCCGTGCCGCTGGTGCTCTAGGAATAGAAGCCATGTGTTCAGAGGTCAGGCTGTTGCCAGCTGAGCTGTGGATGAGAAGAACTGCTTCTCCGTGTAAATCTCCTTGCCCGTCTGTCACATGCGTGTAGACCCTGACATGCTGGCAAGGTTCAAGGCCATATGGTGATCACATGTCTGAAACGAAAAGCTCTATTTCAGGATTGCCATTTAGAGGCTGACTTCATCGTCTTCTCTTCCAGATCTTTGCAAAACGGCTTTCCAACCGCCGAAAGAAGAGAAGAAACTGCATTCGAGTGGAAATCGAACCTCTAATCCAAGCATATTGCTTGCTATTAATCGCCAAAAAGAAAAAAAAAAAACCACCCCAACAAACCGGAAACTTTCATGAGGAATGTATTTGCATATGTTTGTAAAAAACTGAATCCTTGAAGACTTAAACCTCGCACTGCGCTGTCATCTTTGGACGCGCCAGGTCAAGAGAGCAACTCGGAGAAGATATTCTGCCTTTAAAAACTTGAGGGATTTTCTATTTTTTTCCCCACCTCCACCCCCAACCTGCAAGGACTTTTTTCTTAAGAGTCGGATCTGCTGTCCCCCTTCATTCGCGGGACGGCCTCGGTGGCTTTGTTTTGGGGGACAAAGCCACTGCCCTGTGCCTCTCCTGCTCACCCTTAACTTTGGATTCAGAGATTCTATTTAAGAATTTAATATATGAGGCTTCCTTTGAGTCTTCTTCCGTTCTCTTTTCTTTGTTTCCCAGAATAGGGAGAGATAAATGAATAAAGTGAACAGGGGCTCACTTGTCTGCACCTTTCTTTCCTGGGTGAATGCATCTTTGTATTCCCCGTACCCCGTATTGAATTCTGCCAGGTGGGTTGGAACAAGCTAGGGTAGAAAAGCCACGCCATGTGCTCTTCTGTGAAACCAGTGTTGCACGAAATCTGAACTACAACTTTCCCCTGAATTGCAGTATTTCCATGAAAGAAAGACGTTGTTGTGTGAAACCTGCGTTATATGAATTCTCAACTGTAGTTTTGTCCTATTTCCAACTAGTAAGCTGTATGTTGTGTTGGGAGACCTATGTTGCACAGGCAACTGCAGCTTTGTCTGTTGTTGTTTTGTAACATCGAGTCAGAACCGACCCATAGCTGACCATCTGGCGGGTGGGTTTTCAGAGGAAGTTAATTGCAGGGGAGGAGATTGCCCATCCTTCTCCCACAGAGCAGCTGGTGGGTTTGAACTGTGTGCTTTTGGGTCGGCAGCGCAACTCCTTACAACTAAGTTACCAGAACTCAGAACGAAAGGACTGGCCCTTGATAACCTCTAAACCTGCTCACAGGGTCTTTTGTGTCCCTGGGACCCTGAGCCATGCAGGGCTGATCTCAATAATACAATTTATGGTGGAGGTCTTGGTGACTCGGGTGGAGGCTTAGCTTGACCTCGATGCAGTGCGGGTGGGCCAGGAGATGGGGTACTAAGGTCAGTCACATGGGTGCCCCTCCGCCACTGGGACTCATTCACTGCTGTTGAGTCCGAGCTGACTCATCGCTGACCGTCTGTTAACCACATGCAAGGTGATTGCCAATCTTTGTCCCTTGGAGGGGCCACTGGATTCGAACTGCCAGAGGGAGGTGCAGCGTTTGGGATAGCCGTGCCCACCGGTCGCTCCTCCCTCGCTGTTGTTTACTGTCTCTGAAAACCCACCGGAGGGCTACTATAGTACCTGACCTCAGCACTCCTTTCTCTGGGATTAGCAGGATCTGAGCACACAAATGACCCCTTTAGTGCGCGCACGTCTGAGAGGACAGCTGGTACTGGAAGGGCTTGGGCTCTTTAAGGATGAGTGTTTCACCAACGTTGTCTGATGTCACGTGGTAACATGCAAATCATCGAAAAGGCCTCAGGTGTGGTATCTGGGGACTGAGTGGGCCTGGCTGTGGGGCTGGAGCTTTCATTTTCTTCATTTGTAGACCAGGGAAGTTCAAAGGTCTCAGGGTTGTAGGGTGAGAGAGGGGTTAGTACCGGGTATCGGGTATCGCTGTCAGTGGTTCTGTGAGCTCTGTGTGTGGGACAACTGCTGCCTCTTCTCCTTGACCTTGGGGCCACAGTAGGCTGTGCATTCATTTCCTGGGGCTGATGTAACAAAATACCACAACGTGGCCGGCTTTGCACAAGAGAAACTTAGCGCCTTGTCACAGGCTGGACGTCCGAGTCAGGTCCCTAGCAGGGCTGGCTCCTCCCAAGGGCTCTGAGGGTCTTCCGGGCCTCTCGTCCAGCTTCCGGAGGCACAGGCACCCGCTTGGCAGGAAGCTGCAATTCCATTTGGCATTCTCTGCCTCTCTGTCTCTGTGACACGAGTTACATATATATAAATATAATTGGGACCCTTCCTACTCCTGTTACGACCTCAGGTTACTTGATAAAACCCCCCAAAGTGATGTCCAAACTGGGTCCCACTCCCAGCTACCATCACTGGGGCATCACCGTGTTATTTTGGGGAACATAGGCTGCTCACAGATGGTGATTTGGCTTGTGAGGGCTGGACCCCCCTTCTGTTTGTTCAGCTGTCATTTATAACCTGCTGTTGGGTGTGTCCTGTGTGGTAGGGTCCCGTTGGGGATCTGAGGATAGGTAAGGGCAGTCTGCCTCTCAAATCCCTGATGGCACACGCACACAATGGAGCCCCCAGGGTGCCGTATGTATCAGGCTGCCAGCTGAGAACTTGGTGGTTTGGATCCACTAACTGCTTCACGGAAGAAAGATGTGTAGTTGTAGACTCATCCTATTAAGAACCACGCTGCTCTAGGATTTTGAGGCTCCATCTCCCATACTTTGGGCACGTGCTAGGAGGGACCGGTCCTTGGAGAAGAACATCAGGCTTGGAAGGGTGGAGGGACAGCACAGGAGAGGGAGACCCCAGATGAGGTGGATTGACTCAATGACTGGGGTAATGGGATTAAGCCTGTTGGAGACGAGGAGATTGGCTCAGAATAGGGCTGGTTTCAGAGCTAATGAATATAAGGTTGCTGTGAGTTGCACAGCTTGCCTCTGGAAACCCTATGAACCTGGAGAAAGGACGGAAGTTCTACAGGTGTCCAGGACTGTTGTTCATAGGGTCGCTATGAGTCACCTACCACTTGACAGCACTTAACAACAATATGAGTCACATCAATCTGCGTCATGCAGA